TTCTCAGAAGTTGACTCAGTCATTTGAACTTTGGGGGAAAAAAAGAAACATCTCTACTGCATAGTAGTTAAAGACGAAGACTTTCAGAGGACATGAGACTTACCTGTTAGTTTAGTAGAATATCAACAATTATAAACGATAATCTGTGGCTTTTGGTATTGTGAAGGACTTCCTGTTTGGAGATGAAAAAACCCCTCTCAAAGTTGCAGTTGTAGCTGCAGGACAATTGCTCAGCAGTTGGATTCACCAGAGGTGATGTGAGATCAGCATTTCAAGTGAACTTGTTAAATTCAGTCAATAGAGGTAAACTGCATTCTTATTATAATTTATGTACAGCACCACATGGCCATTCAAGTGACAGTTGCAGAATGCATAGAGCCTGACCCAGATCATTTGAGGTTTCCCTGCTTTCAAGAATAGAAAAAAAAAAAAATAGAGGGATTGCCTTCCCCCATCACTTGTCTGTTGTAAGGCACAGATATGCAATAGCCCACAGGAAATGAGTGCTCTCACACAGCTCCTCTAAAGCAAAGGCAGTCACAGCCAGAGGCTGACATATGTATGCTAGGGAGTGGAGGAGGGACAGGAAGCAATCAGGAAGGGATGCTGATGAAAGGAAAGAGCCTAACAACTGTGACAAAAACCTTCCTGCTCCTGCAGAGACAGACTGCAAAATGCTAGACCAGGGGTTTCCCCCAGCCTCAAAGAGCATTTTCAGGCTGCTTGTATCAGAATAAGCGTACAGATCAGCTATTTCAATTTTTTTCATAATAGTGTTTGCTCTTTCCCATCACTGTGCTTACAGCATCATCATATTTCAGCTTTTTCCTCCCTTAATCAGATAAAGAAAAATAGTTCTTGAACGCTTTTGTTTTGTTAAAACATTATCTCCTTCCGCTTCAGGCTCTGGCTTTTGATTTGGAACCCAAGTAAATAAAAAACCTCTCTACTAGGAAATACAAAACTATGGATAATCACAAAAAGAATATACCAGTCATGAGTTACCACAGTGTTCTAGATAATATTTCCATTACCTCAGGTGATGATAGTCCCTGCACACCTTTCAGCTCATTGTATCCCCTGCAAGCCAGTCTGTCCCACTAGAAAATTAACCTGTTCAGCAATAAACATTCAGAAACACGTGGAGAGGTTCTGCTATTGCACCCAACCATGTACAATTGTACCATCTTAGGTAACATGGCAACAGAGCACTTAGATAATTAACTATGTCCAAAAGCCTTCTTACAGAGGATTAGGTCTGTAAAATTAATGAATTCTGCTTTGCTTCCAGGCAGTCCATGCAAGCAGAAGGAGAAAATAAACGGCTTTGCTGCCCACGTCAGTTTGGAAAGACCAGATTTATGTGTGTGATCATGCCACTGGTGACAGCTCTTAGCTTTGCCAACAACCTGCAAGTCTCATTCATTTCAGCAGGGCTGACAGATGCTCAGCTTTACTAAAAGTCTGTCAATACTGTTTTCCTACCTCTGCTACCTGCCCATGACATCTCATGACAGAATTTGACATCTTATCACAGGATTTTTCTAGAGGGTAGGATGGTATGCAGGGTGGGGACTGAAATAATAGTCTTAAAATCTTCACAGATTATTTTCCAATGCCATGGTTAAAGGAGTGTAAAAGCTTCAGAATGGCCTTAACTCTTCCCTACTTGTTTTTGTCTCCTCTTTTCTTGTCCCCACCCACTATGTTAGTCAGGCATTTATTTTTAGATAAAGAACAGATAAGCAGAACAATCCATTTCAGAGAAACACATCTTCACCTGTCACCCAGCTGACTGACTGTGAGTCCTGTGTCTTATGCTGTTGACTATTCAGCAATAAGCTGATCACCTGGACCTACCTGAAGGCAAGAAAATACAGCATCTCAGACACTACTTTAAAGATTTCTTTTTAAAGTGAACTGTTGTGCCAAACAGCTCTGAGTAATTCCCTTCCTTGTCCACTGTTTTAAGAGCATTTTTCCTGAGCAGAAGCATTAGCAATGCCACAATCTTGTATTGTGCTTTCACTTCAAAGACCTTCAGGATTTCTCTCCTGGTCCTCAGTTAAAGTGCAAGATGGGTGGGAATTGGATAGGGCTGGCTTACAGAGTGCAGGTGAACAGACAGTTAAGCCACAGCTCTAGTTCCAAGTCCAGGGTGCCCACTTTGTGACTATGCATGGGCCAGTTTCATTACGGCACAACATTACACCCACTTTTGGGAAGGTCCTTGGAAACATGTTGTCATAATACTATAGATGGGATGAACCATCCCAGTGTGTTCAACTGTTGCCATTCTCTTTCTCAGGAACTCAGCAGCAACTCTTGCAGCATGACAGAAGAGCACAGAGCTTTCCTGAAAAAGGATGATCCTTTTTGTTTTCTGTGGCCCACCCACAGCCAGGCTCATTGCTCGGGGGCAGATGGAGTGTCTGCATGCACACCCTGTCTGCACACAGAGAGGGACCCTGCACCTGCACAGGCAAAAGGGCCATGACACATCTGGTACTAAAAGCAATTACAAGACCCTTTAAGTTGAAGTGTTTGGGGTTTAGGAGTCATCTTGCACATAGAAAGTCATATCTCGGGGTAGCTGTGGATCAAGACCAGTCCACAGGTAAGTGTACAGCACCCACCAGCAACATTTAAAGCTGTGTCTCTCTTCCAAGAAAGGGATTTTCCTCCCAGTTATCTTCCCCTCCATTGCCCCCCAAGAATATCTTGAGAATGTAAGCACAGATTTCCTTTTCCCCCATAATAAGATTGCAATTATGGCTAAGTTCACACTTCAACTCCTTTATGACTGCAAATTTCTGATTAAGGGGAATATCGGATCTGTTTGGAGACATATTTACATGAAAGATGCTAAAGAAAAACATACACTATTACCATCAAAAGCCATGTATTACACAGTGTTCCAATTAAAAACATCACAACCAGCAGGCATTACTATCCCAGCTCGCCCTGAAAGTGGCTATGTTCATTCTTGTATGTATGCTTTTCCCCTCATAAGGCAGGATACAAAATCCAGTCCTATCCCAAATCAATAGTCCCAGCTAAAAGCTGGGCCTCACTGGGAAAGAGTTCAAAACATTTAGCAGTGCTTTCTGACACTGCTACTGCTGGAAAGGCAGTCAGCTGTGGGAAGAGGTAATTCCTCCACACCTCTGGGAATTCAGCCATTGTAGTTTCACTCCCGCTCCTCATATGGTCTCAAAAGCCCCATGAGAATCATACAACTTCTGGGCATAGAGTTTACACTTTAATAAATTACAACATGAGACAATGAGTTATTTGAGAAACAACTGGCTTTTCATTACTGATTGTGTCATACACAGTGCAAGTGCCACAGCCCTGCTCCTCGACTGACAGCCTCTAGCTATGACTGTCAGGCTGCAAAGTGTCATGAAAATGCCTACAGAAATATGTTGGCACCTCTCTGTACTTACCTTGGGTGGGATAGGAAAAGAAAGACCAACACTATTTACAAGTGAAATTAATCTGAGTTCATGAAGAGAGTTTATTTTTGTGGGCAGGGGGTATTTAGGTTGTCTTTTACTTGCTTGCTTTTAATAATACTGACCAAACATCCTTCTTGGCAGTTACTGCACTGTTTCTGCAAAAAGAGTTCTGAAAAGTTCCTCTCATCATCATAGGCCTTTATAATGAAGGTAAATGCAGTTCTGTCTTCCGAGAAAGGGCTAATGTGCATAAGAACAAGGGAGATCAAATGATACAAAGCTTCACAGGGTGAATATGAAAAAGCATAGTTGAGATTTCAGAAGCTCACTGATTGACTCCGAATCACGATTGTTGCAGAGATACCAATTTTGTACCCACAACTTAACAGACTGTATTTTTTCATTATGAAAAAACCCAACACAGTTTTTAAAAGTAGTGTAGGTGGCTTTTTTTCTTTTTTTTTTTTTTTTTTTTTTTTTTTCCAGTGGAGCAGACCTTTTGTTTGCATTCCACTTGTTTGTCTGATTAAATCATTCTGGTATTCCTTTTAAACTCTGTTATGTAAGTAACCTCTCTTGTCACTGTACTGCAAAATAAGCCTTCTGCAGGTGATTTGTGGAGGAACCAAGACTTCTCTAAAGAGATCTGAACATTCTGGAGCAGATTTGAGACTGTCAAAAAGAAGAAAACAAAAAACAAACAACCTCCCCCCCCAAAAAAAACAAAACAAAAAAACCAACAAAAAAGAAGAGAGCTACCAGAAGTTACACAGAACTACCTGATAAGAGAAGGGTAGGTAAGGGAAAATCAAGTTTCCTGAAAACCATCCAATGTTAAAAACTTTTAAGAAACTGAGCTAATTCAGATCATAAGAGTACTCAAGTGCAGCACCTTAAAATAATGCTTTAAGGGGAACAAGAAAAAAGGCAGCTAGAAAATAAATGGACTCATCTGTAATTGACAGATGCACCAGGTAATTAATTATTAAATCACATGCTGTTTGTCAGCTGCAAATGGAAGGCTTCTGCATAATTTAAGACTGTATTTTAAGCACTATTGAGTCTCCTGCTTGACATATCGAATTTTTATCCAATTATTGCACCCCCTCACAGGAGGGGACACATATTCCTGTCTTTGTCCAGTTTTAACACCTGACTTCACAAGTTTACAAGCAGTTACATGTTTATTTTCTAGAAATATAATCTATATTCTCATTCATAGTTCTTCTACTCCCTTCCCCTCAAATAGACAGCATCATTGAGGCCCCTACCAGCAGAAAAAGAGACAACACTGCACAAAATAGAACTGCTCATTTAAGAGAGACAGTATTGCCATTCATAAAAATATACTAACCAGAACTGTCTTCCTGGGGCATTACCCATGCCAGGTTGTACTTTGAACAGGTATATTTAAAGTCCACATTATATTCTCTTAATTCACACCTGGGTGCAAAGATCCTCTATTTTGCTAGTCAGAGTGTGCATGTGACTGCTATTTTCCAACCTAGACAAGCTCAACAAGGTTTTTTGCACACTTACTCTGGAGATGGTCAAGGGCATGTTGAAGTCCTTGCCCCCTTGCAGTCGGAAGCCCCATGGTCCAGGTCCGTTCAGAGTCACGCTGTAAGCCATTGTGTGCTGCTTTCACCACACCACAACCAGGCACTGCAGAACACAGGGGTGGGGTGGACAGAGGGAAGTGTGAAAACAACACAATGAGAAGAGGGAAGAGTTTTATGTAACGAAAGCAATTCTCTTTCTGCCTTGCCTGTTCAGTCGTGCTCTGATACCAACCAAGAATAGATGGGAGCTATAATGCAGATGCTGATATCCCAGCTGAGCAGGGCCCATAAAAGGTTTGTAACCAGACACCTACTATGCAAAGACTTCATGACTCAGAGATCTAATATAGTCCTCAGGGAAGGGGACAGATCTTTCTAGGCTCCTGAAGCCCCTCGTCCTGCCCAGTTACTTTATGGACAAAATACATGTTTTAATAAAACAAGCAAATAAAATCCAATGCTAAAATCCCAAACACCCAAATCTCTTCACTAACCTGTTAACAACTACAGAGCCATTTTTAAATTCTGCTTCAGCACATGTTTATTGAATTGTGACATATAATATACTACAGGTGAGTTCTTTTTATATAGATCTTACTATATGTAGCAGGAGAGGTGCCAAAAAAGTGTTTACCTTCCTTTGCAATAGTTTGTTAAACTGAAAAAAGCTTTAGCATCAAAAAAAGGCCCCACAACTTCATGTTTGGCTCTTGGTTCCACAGCCCTTGCTTTCTCAAGGGAAAATTAAAATTTATTCTCTCTGAATGCAGAAAGATGTATCATGAGATACTTCTAATCAGCATTTAATTTCTGTGGCAAAAGCATAGTTTCACTACATACCTGTCTTGTCATTTTAATACAAGTCTTCTAAAGGCACAACACTTAAATGAAAGGCTAAGAATACAAATAGTTAGCCAACTTATTTCTTAATTTATTCCTTGATTTTTTCATAGTTTATATTCCAGTTCTTAGGTATTTCCATAAAACTGTAACCCTCGTTCAGTAATGCTGGATAGCATTTCTGCCTTAGATTGGAAATTGCTAAAATGCAGAGGACATGAGGGAAGGGGAGAAGCTGTTGGCAGATCTACAGATATAAACAAAAAAATTCTGCTCTCCCCTTTCAAGTCATTAACATGTGCAGGAACTCCAGGAGTCCTCTCCTGTATCTCTGCAGCATTTATCCTTCTTTATCCTCTGGTTAGAAAAAAATTGCCATTATGTTGAGGTGTGTGGGGAGGGAAGCATGGGTTCTGCTCTGATGATCCAAAAGACAACCAAAACCACACAATGCACCAGAGTGAGGCAGCTCAGTTTGAATGTTGATAATGGGTCACTCTGCCAATACACCCACCTTAAAACACGGTAAATATCTGGAGGTGAAACGGCAGAGAGCAAACACTACCAGGAACTCAGTCTTTATCTGAGGAGATGGTCAATAATTTTTCAAAATCATGAAGCAATACAGTGTCTGTTTAGTATTCACAGTGTCAGAAAAGCCATTTGTACAAGGGAATGATTAATCTCTGCACAGACTAAACCATATAACCATATCTTTTCTCCAGAGATCCACATTAAACCACAGCATTTCACACGGATTTAAATGGAAGTTACTCCAAGCCAGCAGAACTGGCCCAAACCAAAACTAAGGCAAATAGCAAGACACAGCCTGAGAAGAAGATGGGCTTTTGATGTCTCACAAATACCTCTAAGGTATTGATTTACATCAAGAGGATTTATAACCTGTCCTCTATGAGTCCAGAACCAGTGATGTTTGGATGATGACTTTGAGGAGACAAAACTGACTTGTTGGACTTCAAATGGCAGAGTTTCCAGGCCTGCCAGTTTATCTAGTACTGAATTTATTTTTTTTTTAGAAAGTCACATGTACACCCAAGTTTGAAGATAAATTCTCATTGCAGTATTTCTTTCCTATTCCTAAGAATTGACTGCTGGTTTAATGCCCTTTCTTGGCTCAATTTAAAGGGTTCAGGAGAACAGAACTCTTTACCAGGAGTAAGATAAACACAGCAAGTCATGGCCTCACTAGTAAAGACAGTATCACCTAAATAGGTATTACTGTCTTTACTAGTGAGGCCATGACTTGCAGTGTTTATGGTAACATGCACAGAAGGTAACATGCATAGAAGGTAACATGCACAGAAGGTAACATGCACAGAATTCACAGTTCATAAAACTGTAACTTTTCTTCTATCACCTAAATAGGTATTAGAAGAAAAGTTACAGTTTTATGAACTGTGAATTGTGTGCATGTTACCTTCTGATATCTAAACCTTCAGTCATTCATAGAAAAAAAAAAGATTAAAAAAAGGGGAGGGGGGGGACAAAACCCAGAACAGAATAAAACTGCACAGCAAGCTGAACAGAGCTAAGAATTGAGAAACAGAGATGCTGTTTAATCAAACACTGTGTGTTTCTGTCCTACTTTCACATCTATAACATGCCATTCCTTTATCAGTTTAGGACATCTGAAAGGATCTGAGTGGTGTGGTGTGCTAAGAAACTAGAGTGGGAATCTCATTAGGGGCTCTGTCATTTGAATGAAACGTTAAACTAAGGTCACTTGTTCCTACTCCTTTGGTTTCTGTCTGTGTCTGCACGAATGTTCAGCATAGCTTGGCACTTTCAAGAGGAAAGTGGAGAGGATATGCCAGAGTCCTGGCCAACATTCCCCTTCAACACCACAGGACCACAGCTCTATCACTACCAGGTGCAATTTGGAGAAAAAAATATTCCACAGTTTTCTTTCTCCAGGCCTCCGTAAGTCGTTTCCCTCCTGTGTCTGTATCCCCTCTGCCTGCCTGGAGAAAGTTCTGTGCTTAATAATGAAGTTAAAATGCTGCAGAAGCTCATGCTGCAGTCACAGCTCCATTTGTTAGGGACATTTAGCATAGGTCTCACTTTCTACAAACTTTCAATACAATGAGCCTCTAAATAAGAAAGCTGGTGATCCACCCAGATGGCTGGTTCAACCCCACCCTGTCTTCAAAAGGGCAGCAGGTACAGTGTCATCACAGCTATCAGTACAAACCTCAGCAACACCTTCTGGGAAACCTGAGGTTGCAATAAACTGTGTGTACATAATAGACAGTCCCCTTGTTTTTCAGAGGCTTGTGATGTTTAGATTAGGTTTTAGTTGCTTTACATAACTGCCTGTTAGACTGTTCCAAAACTCATTTTTTGTTTGCTCAGACAACAGTGTTTTGTTTCTCTTGGTGTGCCTTCTTCCCTACATTCTCCTGCCATGTCAAAATCTGTGATTTGCTCATAGCTCCCTCCCTTCAGAGAGAAGCTATGCTGAGTCAGATGAGGTCACTGATGTAAGGAGTGACATTTAAACAAAAAACATATTCCAGGAGCAGGGTGACATTTTCTCCACACATATCAAAGCAGAGAATTGTCCAGAGCTCACCAGGCCCCGCCCCATCCCGAGCTATTCCCAGCTGACTGATGGGAACAGCTGGGAGGAAGCTGGATGGGCACCAGGCTCTACAGCAGGGGAGAGTGCCACCACCTCCAGCAAATGCCTCTGAGCCTGAGCAGAGCTGTCCTGCCACAACTGCATCAGAGATGTTACAGTGGCGGAAACAATCCCCACGTGCTGGGAGACCACGCTGTGACACACCACAGTGAACCAGCTCCAGGAGAGCGAGGGCTGCATGCCTGGGAGAGCACAGCCATGGAGCCAATGAAATCACACCCACCCGTGTCAAAGCTAAATAAAGGTGGGAGGAAACAAGTAATGGAAATTCCAGTTGTTAAAGGTGCTACTACTTCATGGAGCTGGAGGCATTACTCAGGGGTTATATTTTAGCTGCAGGGGTAAACCTGCACATAGAGGAGCCTTGGATTACTGTTACTGCAGCAACCTGGTTGTATCATTTGTATCATTAAGGATTTCACAAGCAGATTGCTTAGAGTTTGACTTCTGATCTGCAATATACTGCGCATCTCTGGCACATAAAAAGATGTGTTAGAGGTCATGGTTTATGTTTTTCTTTAGCCAAGTGAAAGACTTGCACGCCGCAGGAATAAACTATCACTTCCTATTTGATAAAAAGACATTCAACGTTCCTTTAGGGGGAAAAAAACCTGACAAAAAGATTGCCTGCCTTTGTTTCAGTCTCCCTCACCTGAGGGAGTGGCAATATGAGAAGGCAGCATTAGGCTTTATGACAAACAAGCCCTTTCTGTCCCATGGATTCCTGCACTGTCCCCAGTACGATTATCTACATTCTTTCAGAAGAGTGGAAAAGCAAGGAGAATGGAGCCTTGAAGCAACTACTCACTACATAGATGCATGAAGAAAACCCAAGCTTTGTACTGGTTGACTGATATGTGCAATCCTAGAGTTTTCAAAAATTTTGAATTAACCCAGCGTTAATTACATTTCATGTGGAATCAACAACTCTGTTTGGGGAGTGATCCACAGTACAAACCAGCACACATTTACCATATATTGGCTAAGCAGTGCTAAAGAATTTGAAACTGACACTTGAGAGACGTAAAAAATTTTTAATTCTGAATTCCCACCTTGCCAATGTCAAACTGAATATGAACGTAATTACCAAGAGTAAAGACTTTTTTCCCACAAGTTCAGCACAAGTTCAATATTGCTTCCAAAGTAAGGCTATTCTACAATGCAAAAGAGCTCATTGCAATCCCCTTTCCTTCACTGCTGAGCTCTAAGTTGAGTTAATCCTCCTTTTACTGCCATGTACAGCTTTGTTTGACCTATTGAATCAAAATCCTTTGATTCTCACAGAACTGAGTATTTCTGAATTCCTTTTAGCACCTTTATCAAGTTGTCCTAAGTCCTGCATTTTGATCTTTCCCAAGAAGCTAAATTTTCTACCACACTTTGCTTCATCTCATTCTACTTTGCCAATACATTTCTATTAATGTGCTTCGTGGGTTCCAACAAAAGCCAGTATTTCTGAGGAGATATGCTAGAGCAATATAATGACAGAATATTATCTCCCTTCCCTGTAATACAATGCCTTCAGAAATGCAGCTCCAGTGTTTCCTGCTTGCCTGTTTGTTGCTGCCAGTATCACTTTACCAATTGATCAAATTTGCTGTTTACCCTCTCCTCGAGATCCTTCACCATGACTACTTTCACCTTCACAAAAAAAATGATATTTCACACTTTATTCCCCTCCTACATGGCCTTTTTTCCCTCCACACCTTGCTGCTACCACAAAAGATTTGGTATGCAACATGGTGTAGTCAGAACTGATTTTTAAAAGATTTGAAAAGTTTTTGGTAACTATGTTAAAGTGGAAACCTGTGGAAAGACAGTGTCCCAAGAGAAGAGAAGGATACCAGCCCAGAGTGTTTGCAAAGACTTGATTGTATGTTACTAAGTTCTCATTTTATCAGCTTTTCAGTTATTGTTTTTAAAGGCAGTCACTACACCGTGTAATACTTAACACTTCCATGGCACCTACCTTCCCAAGATAAGAAAATTTCTTTTTTAAGGTAAAGAACACCTAAGCACCTGGTGTTTTAACCATCTCCTGGTAACCATAGAGCTTAGGTTACCAGTTTTAAGAGACAAAATGTATCAACAGCAGCAACTGGATTAAAATGAAGAGCTCAGTTTCTAATACAGGTACTTGGAGAAGAAAAACAAGGCTGTCAAATACGTTGCCATTCAGTTTTCATCGTTCTTTTCCAACTATGGGCTGAAACCAGGAAAGTTTACAGCAAGCCTGTGACTACCGTAATTCTTGCCTTGTTGCAGGCAATCCTAAACGACTGTTTTCCCTTAGAAAGGGGGAAATAGCGAATGAAAAAAAACCCAAACAAACCCCAACAGACTCAAGAACAGCTACAGAGGCTGCGTGCAGGTCACCATCATCACCATCAGCTCTGGGCAGAGCAGGGGCTGAGCTTTGCCACGAGGTCACAGCACCGCTGACAGCGCTGGCTCCTGTCCGGACAGCCGGGGTTTGGCACAGCGCAGAGAGCGCTCAACGGGGCTTAGGAGAAGGATCCTGTGCTGTCAGCGTCATTTGGCCATCGCAGATTGCTCAGGGGATCACTGCACCACACTGATGCAGCGGTGCGCCCGTAGGCGCAAGATGACAAAGCAACCTCCCAAACGCCTCGCCCGCTCACTTCTGCCTTCCCAGCAAAGGCTCTCCGGGGCAACACATTCCACTGCGGAAACTCCGTGGTCGCGGCGCACCCACCTTGCCCACCTGCGGTGTCCCGAGTAACCAAGCGGTCCCTCCGGGCCGCCCCCCTCACCTCCGCCGCCGCCGCGTTGCGTGGGCCGGGGCCAGCGGGCGCGGGGCCCGCACCCACGGACATCGGCCGGGCAGCGGGGCCGAGGGGAGCGGAGCCCAGGGCAGCGCTGAGCCCGCCCGGCCCCGCGGGGAGGGCAGCGCCGCTGCCGCCGCGGAGGGGCTGGTAAAGCGCCCGGGGCACGGGCACGGCCCGAGGGCAGGGGCCGCTCCCCGGGGCCGCCGCGCGGGGGCGCCGCGCGGGCGGGGCGCGCTGAGGGGGATTTTCCGCCGCGGGCGGTAGCGCAGGGGCCGGTGAGCGAGAAAGGGCTGACCGAGGCGTGCAAATGGCCGCGTGTGAGCCGAGATCACCGCGGGGCCGCGGTGGCGGAGCGGGAAGGTGACAGAGAGCTGTGGGGAGCGGCAGCAGGTATCCCGGGGGGCGGGCGGCCCGCGCGCGAGCGCCCTCAGGGCAGGATGCGGGGGATGAAATGGCGGCGGGAGCGGGGGGGCCGCGGGAGGCGCTCGGGAGGGCGGCGCGGGGCGGCAGGAGGGGCTGCTGTCCTGCCCGAGCTCTGCACAAGCTCTCCAGCATGTGCTTGAGCGCAGCCTTCAGCCCCTTCGCCGAGCGAAATCGCTGATTGCCTCGTAAGAAAAGTGGAAGTGAGTTTGTTTACCCCCGCCGATTCACTGGTGTTGATAAGTGACGGTCTTTTTAACTGAGTGGAAAAGTTAAAACCACGTCCCGAGAGGAGACAAAGGGTTTGGAAGACAAAAAATGCAAAACGAGCAACGAGACTGCCCACCAGGATAGTGATACTGAGATAATTTAAGATGCTGAGCCTGGCGGTGCGTTCACATGGCTGCTGAGTGCTGTCAAGGACCAAGCATCCCTCTCCACATCCCTCTCCTCTATTCAGTAGTGCTGGGTGGTGGTTTGGGTTTCTTCTTTTTTATGTTATGCTTCCCGAAATATTCTCCAGGAATCCAGCTGTTTTCTCAGTGCAGTGAAGGAGCCGCTGCTTTATGAGTTTGTTAACAATAAAAAAGGAAAAGACCGTTCCCAAGCGTCGAAAGGAAAGATGTTCCCGAGCGTCAGAGCGCTGGAAACGCGGGCGGTGCCCCGTCTGAGCCCCCCGGGATTTGCCCAGGAGCGAAAATTCCCCGGGCTGGGAAGCTCCCGTCCCAGTGGCACCGCGCTGGGCTCCGCCAGGAATCCCGGCTGTGCCGGGGTCGGGGTTCGCTCGCCGGGCGCTGCCCCCCGTCAGCACCAGGGACAGGGCGGGATCCGCGCCCCGGGAGCTGCGCGGAACCGGGTCCGCCACAGCTTCAGAGTCCGAAAGCTCCTCCCCGGTCGTGTGCGGGAATAAATCCAACAACGGCGTCGCTGAAAAAACGCAGCTCCAGCCTACTCAAAAGAATTCAAGTTTAGTGCTTCTTGTAGTATGGAACCTAAAGTCTCTTTACTCTTGAAGTACTGACTGTGCTACGTACTAAGTGGGCTCTTTTGGTCCAACACACAAACCAGGCCAGGAAAACATAATCTAAATGATTTCTGTATTTATATTTGGCCAAAGTTCATATTCATACAGATTGTAACAATGATAGTTGCAAAAATATTCCATTGACAAGTTGTCTTACATCCCCAAAGGAAACATTTTGCATCTTGTCAAATGCCCGAATACATTGCTTTCCATGGAGCATGAAGTTACCAATAATTACCACAAAACAATGCAGTTTATGTGAAGGCAACATGCAAATAGAGCAGATCAGTTTTACCAGAGATTATAAAAGCAAAATCCTTGCAGCTTATACTCTCTCCCTCACCACTCCTACAAAACATGACAAAACAGAAATAATGGGATGGTTGCTGTGGAAGGAAGAAAAGCATCCCACAGAGTAGTGCACAGTCAGTTTTATAGATCACTTACTTTTCAACAGTGTAGTAGATATCACCTTTCCCAAAATTTGTTCATAGCTAAAATTATACATCTCATTAGGGGAAAAAGTGATTCTGCTGACAGCAGTATATTCACTTTTTCTTTTAATAAAGAAAGCAATTAGAAAATTGATTTTAAAATAGGTGTTTGAAGCTACTGACACCTCAAACCATGGAAATACTGAAGTATTGTTTTTAGGATTGCTTCTTATTACAGTTGTCAGAACTATGAACCATTGCCTCTTAGATTAGTCTTGAGGCAGCAGTGAAACCATTTGGAAAAATATAGGAAATTTACTCAGAGCAATTTATTTAAACTTTATGTGTCTTTTTTCACAAATAATGATACTAACTAACTCTGATGATAATAGATATTTCTATATCTACCAATTAATGAATATAGTGGATATTTGCAGGGAGTATCCAAGGTGCTTTTTAAGTAAGTCATTATTTGATCCTGAAGTTGGTATAACAAAAGACCTAGATATCTTCTCCTCTTCTGGCTGAAAGCTTCAGAACTTCAAGAAATATTTAATTTATAAGCTATGAATAATGCTTTAACTGTGATGTACACATCCCTGCTTCACAAGCTCATACGCTTTTTGCATCAAGGCTATTTGATTCTCTTTAGAAAGATTAGTTAGAATAAAATAAGGGCAGAATATGATTTGACTTTCTGTGGTACATGTCTAGGCACCTCTTCTGTGTGCTCTGTAATAATTTCATCATATACTGCATGTGCATTTAAACCCCTCCTCAGACACTCAGTAGGGTGTTTAAGGGCTGGGAGTTTTGGTTGTCAGGGTTTTTTTGCAGTGGGATATGAGTTAACAAATATAAGGATGAAAAAACATGCTTTCTTATCCTTGAAGTCAGCTGTATCTCTTTGTAATTCTTTGAATTTCTCACTGACTCTTCTGTTTCTGAGAAGCCCTCTTTGAATAACAAAAGCTGCAAAATGACCACAAGCAACCTGTAAAGTAGCAGACGTGATGACTTAGGCTGGAAACCATAATCCAGATGGTGGGAAGTTATGCTTATTTTGTGATGATCTATTAGATTATTCCATTCTACATGTGAGAGAAAAAAATCATATTTAAGGGCTTATACCTGAACCTTTCCAAGGCCTTCAACAACCTGATTTTCTGCTCCCCAGTAAATGCATCAGCAAGGATGACTGGAAATTGGCCCATAATCCTGTTCTGATAAGTCGCGGATCAGTTTTTGGGTTTTTTTGGTTGGTTGGTTGGGTTTTTTTGTTTTGTTTTGTTTTTGATTTGTTTTTGTTTTTGTTTGGAACAGGATGAAACACGTGAGCAGGTGTGTTGCTCATTAAAGTCACTGTCACTCAGGGCAAGGGAATTTGAAAAGATGAGAGCTCTACCTGCTCAGCACTCTCTAAAAGAACCTTCAAACTCATTCCCAGAAACCTGTGCCTGTCTTTTGGAGGGACAAAATTCTCTGTCCTATTTTTCTAGAAAGCACTAGTGACAGTATTAAACTCATATTTTAAATAATGTTTCAGAAGTGCGTTGCTTACCTACCAATAGCCTTGGAATAGTTCAGTGAAGCACCTTCAGGATCACCTCTTAGTGTGAAAAGCTGAAGACTGAGAGTACACCAGCCAGGCCATCCTGTGCAAACAATCCTATTTGCTCTCTGGAAAAGTAGCTTACTAATAGATTTAGCTGTCCATTTTCCTCAGTGACTTGGGGTGATTTGCTTTTGACCCATGAGTTTCACTCCAGCCTGGGCAATTTCCTTTTCTGGGAAATTTAGGCAGTTCTGTCAAGGGCAAATTCTGGGGTTTCTGCAAGTCTTTCTCCCAGTCTTTTGTCCTTTCTTGTAATCACTATCTGATCTCCCCAGATGTTTCATTAGCTGTTCAGCTTCAGATCAGTCACAGAAACATTGTTTTCCTTGTAAATAGGCCCTTAATTTTTCATAAATTTCTGCATTATGGTTTCATTAGGCATATGAGGTATTTTAATAAACTGTCTGCACAGTTTATTTGCAGTAACTTTAAACTGAAGGAACAACCACCGTGGATGGAAACTTAAAAGAATGATTGGTACCCAACAAGTTTGGCCTCCTTGGCTACCTAAGGGTTCCTCACCAATGATGGCGTGAGGAAAGTTAGCATGGAAAGTACATCACTGCAGCACAAAGTCTGGATGTACTTTCTCCTGGGATAATGCTTTTGGCAGCTGATCTCATTCCCTGCCCAGCTGAAGGGGCTGCAGTTCCAAGCTCAGAAATAAGCTGGTGATGAGTGTGGCTTTCTGAGTAACGAGTAACCGGTAACGAGACACTGCCTTCGGTTTGGAGGGGCTGTGCAGGTGTTACTTCTCTGTGGTGAGCTGATGTGACTGTTCAGACAGAACTGCTGACATTTAGAGGAGAGCAGATCTGGGCTGCATTTGCACTGTCATTTACCCAAACTGTGACAGCTCCAGTAAATGAGGCCGTTCCATTTGTGGTTGCTTATTGCCCAGCAGTTCTGATTTTCACAGGCCTTTACACGTGCTGTGTAAGGGGGCAGGAGATGAAGGGGCCTGTTCCTTCTGTCACTGGCAAATGAGTGGGCTGTTTGCAAAACAACTCACAATTTTCCCTTATGACAAAAGACTGGAAGGAATTTCTTTAAAATTAGGACTATAGGCATGTCCAATTAACAGTCTGATTCCCATGGGTTTCTGTTTTGGCATTGGCAAAAAAGCTGCCAAAGGAATCTAATACTTTGGATCTCCAAAATTATTTTATTTTGCAGAAATTTTCGAGAAAATTTTAGGAAAATGTAGCAAGCACAGCTCAGACGAGAATCATATTTTTAGAGTGAATCTACTTTAGTAATTTTACTCTTATAAGATATTCATTGTTCCCATTTTCAGTTTTAGTAGTTTTGCAGAGTTCCTAAATTTGCCCACAAACAAGAGCAAACAAACATGCAAACAAAACAGTCAAAAGGTCAACATACAGTTCAATAAAACATTGTGGATTGCAACTCTAGAGTGTTGCTCAAACATTAAAGAGAAGGCTGTCCACGTGGCAACCTCCTTGGACTGATTTTGTCATTACCCTGGGCTATATTATTACCATAACATTCCTAGGACAGGGGGAAAACAGTTATG